ATGAAAAGATGTGCAACATCACTAACATTTAGGTAAATGCAAATCGAAACTGGAATGAGATATCCCCTGCCTCCTGTCAGAATGATCATCACCAAGAAGACAAGAGACAAGTGCTGGCCAGGACGAGGACAAAAGAATACCCCTGTGCACTGTCAGTGAGGATGTAACCTGGCTCAGCCACTATGGAAAAGCTGCAGAGGTTACCCAAAACTTAAAGACAGAGCTACCATATGCTCCAGCAGTCCTCCTTCCTGGTGAGCATCTGAAGGGAGTGAAAACAGGATATTGAAAAGATAGCTGCACTTGCATGTTTATTATAATGTTATTCACAATAGCCAAGATATGGAAATGACCTGAGTGTGCAACAATGGATGAACAGATAAAGAAGAAGTAGCATTTATACAGAATGGAATATTATTCTGCATTGAGAAAGAAAGAAATTCTGCCATTTGTGATATTACAGATGGACATTGAGGGCTTTATGCTTAGTGAGATGAACTAGACAGAGAAAGATAAATGTAAGATATCAGGTATACATGTAAAAAAACAAACAAACTCTTAGAAACAAAGAGTAGAATGGTGTTGGGGTGGAGGAACTGTGGAGACATTAAAGGGTACAAACTTGCAACCCGAAGATAAATAAGTCATGCAGATCAAATGCACAACAGAGTGATTACAGAAAACAGTGACGTATCAGTCTTCAAAGTTGCTAAGATACTATCTTGTGAATGTTCTTGTCACAAAAAATAAAGAAAATTATACTTGTGAGTCATGTGAGAGGTGTTAGTTAAAGCTGTTTGTGGTCACATTGCTGCATGTAAGTGGATCAAATCAACACACTGCAGACTGTGAAAAAAGAAAAAGTAGAACTGCATGATTTCACTTACACATGTAATCTAAAAAAGCCAAATTCACACAAACAGAGAACAGAGTGGTGGTTGTCAGGGCCTGGGAGTCAGGAAGTGAGAAGATGCTCAAAGAGCACAAACGTTCAGGTTTAAGATGAGTGAGTTCTGGGAAATCTCACGAACAGCACGGTGACTACAGCTAACAATGCTGTATTATTTATCTGAAAGTTGCTGAGAGCAGATCTCAAAAATTCTCATCACAAAAGGGAATTAGGTGAGTTTATGGAAGCAACCTTACTGTGAAAATCACTCACAATATATATGTGTATCAAGTCACCACATTACTTACTGGTAGGCCTGTGTCCTGGGTCACTGTCTAAGAAGCATTCCACCAGAGTTGTCTCTCAGGACTCAGACTTCAGGTAGTCTATTTCACTTCATGGGTGAACATATTCAAATGGCCTGTGTATAAAATAAGAATATAATGACTAATAGTTCATTGTGAATGGCTCCCAGAATGTGTTTTAAAATTTTTGTTCCCATGCTTACATTTCACACTACTGGAACAAAATCAAATATGAGCCAACACAAATGGCACATTAGAACAATGATAACAGAGTCCTGAACACAAAGATTCAATGTTTCTTCCTGATGTTTTCTAATCAGAAGTGTTTTTAAAAATATTTGAACTCACCAATTCCTAGGTGACAGCTGAAAGTGACAAAATCAGAGAACCCAAAATGGCAGATGATCCTGTAAGTGATTACAGATGTTGCTACATTTTGTGCCAGAAATTAATTATCTATTAGAAAGTTACATAAAAATACTTGAAGTTCAAACCCTGGAATGCTTCCCAATTTTGTTAAACTCATGTTATTATAATGTCTGTGTCTATTTAGCTGATGAGGTAGGTGAAGATAAAAAGTGACCTGTTCCTCTGTGTTTAGTACAATTAAAATAACTAACAATAATTATGCAATGCTTTTAAGAAATCAGGTTAGATCTGGAATACAAATGGAGATATGAAAATGCTTTTCCTTGTTCTATACATGAGTAGTAGCCCATCATGTACAAATATGTCAGATGACAAGGTATCTTCATGTTAAAAAAAAATGCCATCACAACAAAGGAAAGCTTTACTGATTGTACTGAAAATAAAAGGAAAAAAATAGAATTGGAAAAAGATCATGTTGACATAAAAATGCTCATGGTCACAGATACTATAGAGAAGCAACTGTGGCAGATGTATGAAGACGTAGAAGCCATCACTCATCCACTGAATGTGATTACACCAAATTGTGACTTAATCATTTCATAAACTTGACAGACAACATTTCTGCTTCTATAATTTAAGATATAACCTTTAAAATGCTGTATAATGAGAGGTGTGATGTTCTAGTATCTGTTCTAAGAAGTGCGTTAGACACACATAAGAATAGCCAATGGTCAGAAAGATCACATGTTATCAGCTACCACCCCATGCAAATTAATGGCATTTAGCAGATATTCATATATGTGTGTACATATATAAAATGTGTATTAGTATATATGTAAATCAAATAAAATATTAGATTATAATCTAATGTAAAATCATATCAGCAAAAGCACTTTGCTGACATAAGTGTCTTGGTGTAAACAGATTACAATTTTTTATTGAGTTATCATAATGGGATAATATTGTGAACCAAATAGAAATTGTAAAAAAAGTTATTAAAAAAAAAAACCTGACTACATGAAAAGATGCACAATTACTATAA